GGAGGTGGGATAGTTTCCAATTGAGAACCTGGACCCGCCATCACGGCGCCGTGCACGCGGCCCTGCTCGCGCTTCGTGACTCGTCGCGCACCACGTGCAGTCACCCGCGTCCACACTCCACTTGCCATGCCACGAGCAGGCGCTGTGCGTGTTGTTGAAGGCGGTTGTGCTCTGCGCGGCGGCGGCGAGGGCGTACGCGGCCGTACTAGTAAGTGATTGGCGTGAATGCTGAGACCCCAGCGAAGGAGCGGGAGCAGGAGTACACGGCGGAGGACTCGGAGCTGGTGGCGGTGTGCCAGTGGGTGGCGTGGGCGTCCACGTGTGTGCGAGGCGGCGGCATACTAGTAGCTGCTTGAGCGGAGGTGTGGTCGGCGACGGAACTCGGAGCCGCCATGACAGCACCTATAGTGCACCATATTCCCCTCTAGTTAGAGGGTCAGGACCCCCCACGCTGTCCCTCTAACTAGAGGGGTTTGGAGCCCTATAGGGCACCCCCGCTAATTCTACCTTAGCACGCTGCTCTTCTCAGCGAGGAAGAGCACCTGCTGGCGGTCACTGGCCCGGCCCTTGCCCACCGTCACCCCGCCGTCACCCCCGCCGCTACCCCGACCACCCGCCATCGTTGCCATCAGCGCCGCCATCGTTGGTGACGTCAATGGCATCACCATCACTGATATCTGTCAACAACATGGTGACCGTTGACGCCGCCCTGTCACCATTGACAGCCCGCCCCCCGCGCTCGCTGTGCTCGACGTCGTTGAGCACAGCAAGCTCAATTCTTGTCCGTTTGACACGGGACCACGTGTAATAGATAGATATGATGTAATACAGTTGATTTCCATCACATTTAGGCCCGCGCGTGCGCCGCTTGCCCGGCCGACCCTCCCACCCGCTATCCCGCCCTCCCGCCCGCCCTCCTGCCCGCCCCCGCCCGCCCCTGCCCGCCCCCCGACTCAAAAAATCGAAAGTTGGGAAATCAAAATAGAACACGTGCTGCATAAGTGGCATCACTCAAATCGCGTTCATTGCTGAGATATAGCGCGTTCTTGTTAACTCAAGTTGATGATGTAATTTTTCAAAAAAATGAAAAAGTTGCATATTGATTGGAAAACACAGGCAGTACAGGTTTCACCAGAAAAAATGTGTTTATTGTCGAGATATGACGTGTTCTTGTTAACTCACTATGCACTACGTATAGTTGTTAACTCAACTTTGATCACAAAAAATAAAAGTTACATTTTGATCAGAAAACATATGCTATAGAGGTTTTACCTGAAAAGACATCTTTGTTGGCAAGATATGATGTGTTCTTGTTAACTCACTTTGTAATAAGTATAATTGTTACTTAGGTCAAGTAGTTATGGAGATAGAGGCCCATCAGTTAAACCAGGTGGGGTTGAGTTAACAAGCAACATGAGTTAACAAGAATGGGTCATATCTTGACAAGAAAACCACTGTTTTCAATGAGACTTGTCCTCTCCATATTATCTAGTCAAAATGCAACTTTTATTTTTGGGGTCTAAGTTGAGTTAACAACCATATATAGTGCAAAGTGAGTTAACAAGAACACATCATATCTCAGCAATGAACATGTTTTTTGTGATAAAACATGTAATGCACATGTTTTCTAATCAATACACAACTTTTTCATTTTTTTTGAAAAATTGCATCATCAACTTGAGTTAACAAGAACGCGCTATATCTCAGCAACGAACGCGATTTGATTGATGCGATTGATACAGCACGTGTTATATTTGAAATCTTCAACTTTGGTTTTTTTGAGTCGGGGGGGCAGGCAGGGGCAGGCGGAGGGCGGACAGGAGGGCGGGCCAGCAGTCGGGGGGTCGGCCGGGTGATCCGAGCACGCGCAGGCCTATATGTGATGGAAATCAACTGTATTACATCATATCTATCAAATACATGTGGTCCCGTGTCAAACGGACAAGAATTGAGCTCACTGTGCTCAACGATGTCGAGCACAGCAAGCGCGGGGGGCGGGCTGTCAACGGCGACAGGCCGGGACAGCCGCGGAACATGCGGCGTCAACGGTCGCCACGGGGTTGACAGATGGCGTTGATGTTGATCGGGTTGACGTCACATCGCGCTGATGGCAACGATGGCGGGGTGGGCGGGGTCGGGGCAGCGAGCGGCGGGGGTGACGGCAGGGGTGACGGCGGGGTGACGGTGGGCAAGGGCCGGGCCAGTGACCGCCAGTGAGCGGTCTCCCCCGCTGAGAAGAGCAGCGCGCTAAGCTCGAATTAGCGGGGGTGCCCTACAGTGCTCTATTTCTCTCTAGTTAGAGGGTCAGCGTGGGGGGTCCTGACCCTCTAACTAGAGAGAAATATGGTGCACTATAGGTGCATGACAGGGTGAGAAGCCGATCATGAGATGATCACGTACCGAGTGAGTAAATTGATGAATAAATGGCTTCTCTAACCAGTGCTCTTGATGCATAGTGGCATGTCAGTCCCAAGTGATGACGATGCATCGTAACCCCAGGTTGGGTACCGTCCGTCCGACACCTTCTTGCTGTCCTTTGCTGCAGCCCTCCCGCCATCCTCGGGCGCCGTACTCCCCGACCTTCGCACACTTCATTTGCATGGACACGCCTTCGGGCTGCACGAAGTGGATGCGTTCGTCCAAGAGCGGCTCATGACCATCGGGCGGGCCGGCAAGCGACTGGACCTCGCGCTGACAGCGTGAACATCCGCGCCTTGCGCTCACTGCGCACCAGTGTGCGGTGCTTCACGATGACGCCGCGGCTCCGGTGCGATAGCAATGACACCCTCTGTTAACGGTATCGGGAGTGCCGGACGCGCGGTGATGCGCGGTCCCGCATGTGATTGCGGCCGGCTGGAGCTCGGGTTAGGGCTGTGCCGGAGGAGCGCTTAAGTAGCGGCGTCCGTGTGGCTGGTAGCCACGCTTTTATCTCCCTTTGTTCCCTTTGTACCCTCGGGTAGTGGTCAAGCTATTCATCTGTTGGCACTCAATCGGGAGCGTGCGGCCTGGTTAATAAGCGCCGATTTCTGACACCCTCATTCGCCAGAGGGCCGCGCGTACAACCCCAAGCTTCCCGGTGCTTGGCCTGCCGCCCAGCTACTTGCCATTGTCCCATGTGTAGTTCCGGCTGGCGTGTACGTCTATTTGTACACGGTTATTCCGGTCTTTCTCTTGAGTATTTTACAATGGCATGTAGATTTATGATAATCCCACTGCACGAAGGAGATGCTGTCATGGTACTACTACTAAAGAAATAAATTCTGACAGAAAAAACTATCTATAGAGCTCTATGAGTGTGTGGGTAGATGAGGATGAAGCAAGGGGCTGTCAAGATGCCTATCATGGATATAGGGAGGGGGGAGGGGGGGTCCCAAGCCCTAGAAGAAAAAAAATTTACTGCTTCTTATATCTTAACCAAATATGGCTAAGGACACCTCAAAAACAGCCATAGTGCATCTGCTACTGTATCCAAAATATATATTCCATCTCATATACCTATAAGCAAGGTTTAGGTCAGAGATTGACACACGTGCCAGCTAAACTGGCAATCTAATCTAGATTTACTGATCAAGTCTTAGATCTAACCTGGACGACGAGAGAGCCCCTCTATCGTCTCTCTCGTCGTACCAGGTATGACCCCTATTCATATCTACCTACTCATGTACTAATCTATTGTCTCTCTTGTCATACCAGTCCCTGTACATCATACATCAATACCATTTCTCAGTTTAATAAGCCCAATGTGGTGCAATAATAACAGGCTGTCATATTCTCATCACACTACTGGTGATATATGACCAGTGAATATCATATATATGACTTTATATGGTCCCATATAGGCAGAGAACATCATGTAATACCTCTTTACAATGTATATAGTGAAGTTAACACAAAAATATTACCTTTATCAGCGGTTTTGATCCCATCAATTGTTCACATGCCTTAGCAATCTTATCTAATCGTGGGAAATCATTACCCGATATGGTAAGAGGGGGAGGGGGGTCCCTGGAGGGCCGGAATTTTTTTTTCAACCCTATATCCATTTTTTGAATCTTGACAGCCCCTTGGGATGAAGAGAAGAGAAATGTGACGGGAAGTATAAATATGAACTGAGAATATGATACAAGAACATGGAATAGACAATACCATACACTTGTATCTATCTTGTTCCCTGCATGGCACTGGTACTAGTTCAACCCTAGTACCGTGCTTTGACAGACCAATCCACCTGTACACAGGGTTTTTTTTAAAAACAATATTTAGGGTTATAGCTTCCCAATATGTGATATTATATAGCTGTCAATCCCCCGCTCGCCGCTCAAGGGGTGTGCGGAAGAAAAATACCAGACATTGGGTCGAAAAAGTGCAATAGCGAAGTCAGCCAGTCTGCTGTTCAAGCCAGCTGCCGGTCATAAGCAGGCTGGTCATCTCAACCTTTTGTCTATTCAGTTGCCACTGGCAGATTCGTCCCCATTCCGATTGAGTTGGTCCACAAAGCAGACTCGGATATCTAGGGCTAACTTATGTTCTGCGCTGGAGTTGACTGCCGGTGGCTGGCCACAGGACACTACCCGGCTTCTCTTGCCAGCTCACACTGGTGGCAATGCCAATGGCGGTTGGCAATGGGGGGTCCAACGGCAGCTTGAAGGGAAATTTTATTCCTTTGTTGCAGACAAAGAAACCTTTGTTTGCACTAAGGCCGCTGTTGGACCCCCCATTAACAGGCCGCCATTGGGTTTGCACCCAGTGTCAGGCCAGGCAAGACTCTTCGATGCTGGTAATCGCCAGCGAAGTCACGGCCAGGTCTTCTGTTCAACACAGCTGCTGCCAGTGGTCATAAAGGCGAGGATCAAGTAGTTATTGTTTCCATCTTTTTTGCTGCTCCCACATTCACTCCCAGATTCACCCCCATTCGACCTTGTCATGGATTTGGTTCCGCAAAGCAAAGAAGATAAAGTCTATGTAGGGCTAAATATCCTGCGCCGACATGATTCACTCTGTCAAGGCAGCGCCAACGGCCGGCCCACGACCAACACGCGGACATAAAAGTCCTGCGCGTTGAAGCTGACGACCTCGAGCAGCCGCAGCTGGTCGAAGCCGAGGGGCAGCGCGGCGGGGTCCGCCGAGGGCTGCGCTTGCACCATCTGGTCGTATGTGAGCAACGGAGAGACAGGGCTAACCGGAGCAAACGCACCTCTGCGAGATGATAGAACGCATTGGCGACCTGCATCGCGAGGATGCGCTTCGAGAGGTAGCCCGCTGCGTCTTGGACCTGGACCTGGCTGATGAACCGCGGATGGCCGGGCCACTGGGCCGCTGTCAGCGACCGCGCGGCCGACAACGATAGAGGGAAACTCACCTCAATAATCAAGAACGCGTCCCGTGCGTCGCTCCGGAACGGCGGCGAAATATACGCCGAGAGCGACCGGTCCCCCTCCGCTATGCCTCTACCTGCGAGGATCTCGGCCATCGCGACGCCGAGCGTGCCCGGCCCGCACACGGGCTTGAACGGGATAGACACCGGTGCACTCCGCACAGGCAAGCCCGCCGAAGCGTCGATTTCGGGCAGCGCGGGGACGTAGTGCAGCGGGAGGAAGCCGTTAGTGCGGTGCCACACGTCCTGTGCATCGGACGGCGGCGGGAGCGGGCGGGGCTGCGGGTGAGGATTGTCAGTAGCGAGCGGGGGAGCTAACTGGACGGCGCACGTTTGAGAACGAGACGGTGGGGCCTTGCCAGACCATGCCAGAGTGCGCTGCGTTGGAAAGGACAGTGGCGAACGTCGGGATAGTAGGCGGTGGGCTGACGGGGAGCCATTCGAGGCGAAGCGAGCCGTCGGGGAGGACGACAACGCGCTGGCCCAGCAAGGCGTGCGGAAGGACACGCTCAATGCCAGTGGGGTCGGTTAGCTGGGAGCGTCGGGGCGGCATACACGGTGCGTTTTCTTGTTCTTCTGTGCGTTAATAGGGAGAGCTTTGCTTCTTGCGCTAGATGGGAAGGTGCTGGGAAGGACAAGATGAGCTTTTATATGCAGACCACTCGGTGTGCCACGCACCACGAGAAGGAGGTATCATTCCTCTCACAACCCAACCAAGCGTCAACCAAGCGCACCATTAGCGTGCACGCCGAACACGAGGCCTTTGTGAGAGGACGACGCTGGGGCGCTCAGACGAGCGGCCGGGTGCGACATCCCAGCGCGGGGCCACCGGCCACTAGCGCAGGCGGCGCATCGCCAGGGGGCGGAAGGCGCGGTGGACGTCGTTGACAAGCCGCAAGGCGGCCACGTGTCAAATGATGGGCGCGGCTGTCGTAATCGCGATGATCGCCATTCACCCGGATGGGGTTAGATGAACTTCGAGCGTGTGCTGAGTAGCCCAAAAGCACCGTCCGAATCAGCGAAGAGAGTATTTGGCGCCCCGCGCCTTCAACTTGACACCCGCGGCTCTTCTCGAGCAGCGGGGTCGGCGTCACCGATCAGTAAAAGTGTCAAAAAGTCTTTTAGATCTTTGGTCTTTGCAGAGGGTTTTTGATCTTGAGGATTAGATCTTTTGGATCTTTGGTCTTTGCCCAGCAGCCTTTAGTCTCAAAAAGCAAATCTTTGGTCTTATTCTGAGGTGATCTTTCTAGTGACCAAAGACAAAAAATATTGTATAAGAGTGAGAAGGAGGGAGTATATCACAGGTCAATTGATTATTGAAGTCTGCAGTTTAGACAGAATTGCAAGGTTTTATTGTATATATTAGCCTGCAAACTGTTTTCCAAAACACGGGACTTGGCCAGGCTTCGCCAATTCTGGCCGGGCTGGCCTGTTCATCTCAATTCGACAAGTGTTTGGCAGCAGCCAGGGGGAGGTTGGAGGTGGAAGAGATGGTGGAGGGAACAGAACTTCTTGGTGGCACGCTGTGACAGCTCTCGTACAGGGAAAATGTCTTTGGGAAAAAAAAAATAATTATGCATAAACTAGTCACGAGAATTGCGGAGTGGGGACAGCAAATGAGCTCTCTAACTAACCAAACCAACAAAACAACCAAAACTCCACTTTTCGTAGAGAGAAAGATGTGTAATGTCGAGTAGGAAAAGTCACAAAACCCAAAAATCGTCAACTCCTTGTGCGAGTACAGGCCCCTGTGAACAGAGCCTTGGCACAGATGTGTAAGGTTGTAGGGTAGATACGAGTTTCTTGTGAAAAAGGTTGATTTGTTGTGCCCCAAAGCGTACTATCGACGAAACTCAGCAATAGAGAAGCGTGTTATATCCCGTGCATCTTCGGACGCTCCGAGGGTTATCCTTGGAGCGCAACAGGGTTTTTACGCGATGAAGGTATCTGAGCGTTTCCCTTCAAACAGTTAATCTGCACGCAGGCTCTCTCGGACCCGTTCGGACCCTCCGACCATCAACTCGGATCTTTACCCATTTGGACTTGCGTTTGTTTACTTATATCCTTTAGGCGTTTGCCTTGTTTCCTTTGCCTCGTGTATGTCTTCTCGTTCCCCTTACTTACTATGCCTTTGTACTTAACCCGCAGGGAGATCCTGCGGACCACATCGGATCTCCCTGCGAGGTCATATGCCTTATGTTTACAACTTAGTATAAATACTCGTACTCTACGATCCTGTACTTCAGTTTCGTTATTAACGTTTCTTGCCTCGCTCTCCGCTCTCGTCCGACTCCTCCCCGCATTCTAAGCCTTATCGCCCTTGGCTTCTCCGAACGTAACCGTAGGAGTTCACGTATTTATTCAGACTTGCGTTCGGCCTGCAAGACGTGTAGTCGCTCACTCCGATATAGTGTTGTGATAGCCACTTGGTTCTGCTTCGGACTTTCCGTTACTTCCTTTCGGTTCTTGCACGGCACTTAACAGTATAACGAAACTCAACTACTCGCCTTGCCATGTCTGGACACTTTTCCCCAACGACTCCCTCTCCCCAACGCGCGGTTTTGTACGCTGCGCCTCACAACCCCCCTTTGGTTTCTCCTTTGGTTCAAATGCCTTCTCGGGATCGACACTCGCATACGGAGCAAGGCCTACAAGTCCGTGTTATGGCCGACCGTCGTCAATCCCGCTTGTTCAGTCAAGTACCTATTTTGCGCTCTCCTACTCAGTATGTCTCTTCCTCTCCTGGTCCAAACACACAATTCATTGTTCCCCCTCAATTCGCGGTTCCCCAGTATCAAGACATTCCTGTCAATACCGCTCCACCATACTTCATGCCTCAACCTCGTCGCCACTCATCTGATGCTATTTTCTTGGATAAATCGCTCCTCCCTCGGCCCCTCCGTAAATACGCCGATGCTCAAACTTCGCCCCGTCTTCACAAAATTGTGGAGACTAACGAAGGTGTTGGTGGGGGGAAATCCGGGAGGTGATGGCGGCGACGGTGGGGATGAAGGTGGGGAACCCGAGGGTGGAAATGAAGGGCCAGGAGGAGGCGGAGGACCCGATACCCCTCCAAACCGAGGCTCTCCCCTTCCGGGAGGTGGCCCTGGCGGACCTGGTGGCCCGGGTGGCCCGGGTGGCCCCGGAGGCCCCGGAGGCCCCGGCGGTCCTGGTGGAGGTGGTGGAGGTCGAAGACCTGAGTCTTCTGCGTCTTCAAATCTGAGTGAAGATCGCCAGTGGTTCCGTAACGGTATGGCCGCCCTGATTGACGTTTTGACTGGCATTCGCAATGGCCAGCAACGTCCAACTACTCAGCGGCAATCCCGATCCAACCTTCGGAACCCCGACCCGTTTGATGGCTCTGAATCCTCAAAGCTAAGACCCTTCTTGGCTATTGTTTACCTGCATTTTGCTGAACGCCCTGACGCCTTCCCCGATGATGAATCTCGCATCATCTATGTCCTCTCGTACTTGAAGGGATCAGCACTTGCTTGGTTCGAGCCGGCCATCTACGACGCCGACCCCAACTTCTTGCCAGCCTGGCATAACAACTTTCCAGCTTTTGTTCAAGAGCTGCAAGACCACTTCGGCCCTGTGGACCCCGTCGGTGACACCGAGACTGCCCTTCGGCATCTCCGTATGTCCTCTGGCGACCACATCTCGAAATACTTGGTCGAGTTTCACCGTCTTGCTTCGCTTGCTGGCTGGGGTCTAGTCGCCCTTCGTTCTCAGTTTTACGAAGGTTTGGCTCCACGGGTTAAGGATGCACTCCTTAATATGGAATACGACACTACTCTCCTCGGCGTCAGCGCGGCAGCTAAGAAAGCTGATCACCGTTACTGGCAACGCGTAGCCGAGAAGAAACGTGAAGGCATGACATCTGGTAATGCCGGACGCTCCGACTCTTCGAGCTCTGCTCAGAGTTCGAATTCTAACCAGAAGGGTGGTGGGAAGAAGAAGGACAATCATCGGTCCTCTTCGGGAAATTCTGGTTCTTCCTCGTCGTCTAACAACTCGAGCAACAACAACAACGGCAACAGGGGTAACAACAACGGAAAGGGTTCGGGTTCTCCGAATACCTCCAAACCCTACGCCAATGTGCTCGACAAAGACGGGAAGCTAAGTCAAGCCGAAAAGGATAGGCGCAAAAAGAACAAGTTGTGCCTGTCCTGCGGTGAAGACAGCCATATGCGGGACAAATGTCCCCATATTCCGGCCAACAAGACGGCTTCTGGGAAAGCGTCGACCGCGGAGACCTCCGGTAAATCCGCAAACACCTCCAACGCTAACGAGTCAAAAAAATAGTTAGCAGCTCTGGCGATACCTCCTCGCACGCCCAGAGCTGCGTTGACTCAGGTGCGATTTCCGAGGTTGTCCTCAACGCGTCCACTCTTTCCCCTAATGCCCTTTTCCTTGATCTACTCGTCTCTCTAGTTTCTCCTCTCTCTCTCGGACTCTCCCAGCCGTATTCAACCACGGTAGTATCGGACTTAGGGAAGGTAGCTTCGGGTTTCAACATCCTGTTGCGTACTCTTGTCGACTCGGGCTCTTCTCATTGTTTTATATCTTCGTCTACTTGTGAAACGCATCATATTTCCTCGTATTCGATCGCTCCGATTCGACTCCGATACCTCGACGGCTCTTTCTCTCTAATCGATCGGCAAGTCCGATTGCCTATTCGGTTTCCTTCTGGCGAAGTGCACCTCTTGGACTTCTTTGTCACCCGTCTTGATTCCACCTACCAATTCCACTTATCCTTTTATATTAGAATGAACGGCCCGCTGGGCTGCACATTCTAATATGAAGGGATGACCCCAAATGCCCTATGCTGCAATAAATACTCCAATAATTCTGCAACATCTCTAAGTTATCAAGTCCCTCAGCGCTAAGTCCCTTCTATGCTGCTAATGCTGCAATAATCCACTGCTATCTAAGTTAGTTTCCTAAATTGGCAAATATGACATAAATAGTGATGATTAGTCACATATAAGGTAAAGTTTCAAAGTATACTATATGAGAAGGTTAGATGGTACCTTAGAGACAATGTCACATAGTATGACAAGTGTGACAAACTCCAAAAAAGGAAATCTTGTCAGTTGATAGTGACATTTATTTGGTTTTGACTCTCTATATTATTCAATACATATTGGTGATCAAAGGCTGGTTTCAGCTATATATATGCTGTTATATAATGGTATAAAATGTCAGAGGTGTGACATATCTCCTAAAAAAGGATTTTTTTTTGCAGCTGAACAGCAGAATCATCAGAGAATGTCACATATTGTGACAAAATCAAAGTTGTGTATTTTGACTATATAAAAAACTTCCATGAAATAACCTACTGTGGCAGCTCAATAAATGTGTTAGCACTGACACATCACTAGGTCATATATAACTGATAGGCTGCTATCTCCATATCTGCCTTCGCATTATGACGATTGACAGCGCGGTGCTTCTTCACCCTTCGTGTCGCATTCGTGATACGACGAAGAATTTCTATCTGCGCGACCCCAAACTGCTCGGCAAGCTGCGGGACTGCTTCGCGGACAGGGC